GAGAGGCTAGGAAAAATGCTGACTGGTATCGACAGGCAAGATCATCCTGCCCATGGAGCAAAAGGTCCAGGCTTATGGAGTTCATCCTTTGCTAAGTTAGCCTAAGAAATCTCCAGCTCTGTGTCTTCCTTTAAAAAACTACAGTGATGGGTTCTAGAAGAGCATTTCCCCAACATGTAATCCTAATTGTACCTGAAATAGTAAGTTGTTCTAAGAAGTTGTAACTTATGTGGTCAAATAGGTTTAGTAAATGCTAGTCAAAATAGTTCAAGTTTATTGGTTGACTTCTCAGACCCTTTAACATCACACTAGGCATTATGGGTCTCTGCAAAAGGAACAAGTAGGCACATTGTATCTGACTATAGAACTCTTTATGTATATACAGGGAGGAGAGACCCAGCAACACCTCATAGAACAACGTGGGATCATGCTAGCATAAAGCAATGTGACAATTTTTAAAATATGCAGTATAAAAATGTTCTCTGTCATATCTGTTCATTGGAGAAAATTTGAGAAATACAAAAAAGGTGGGGGAAAAAATCTCTGAGCTCAGCACAGAGAGTTAGCTACTGTTAATATCTTAGTATACCTATTTTTTCTCAGTGTATCACTTAATCTTTTAATAATTTGGTTGATCATTTGTGTGTATATAGGTACATATCATTTTTAAGACCTTTTTAAATTTAAAATATTAAATTCATTTATTTCATTTCAGATTTATGTTAGAGTATATTTGCTTGTCATTCAGAATTCTTTAGGACCTTTTGATTTATACATAGAATTTCATCTTTAAAAAATAAACCTTTTAGGGGGTCAGCAGATAGCATAATGGTTTCGTCCCTGGACTCCCACTTAGTTGACTGCACTACATGATCGAGTCATGGACTCAGTGGCATGAACTCATACTAGGTGCATGTGTGTGCATGCCCAAAATCCCGAGAGGAGAACAGAGGAGAAGGGATTACAGCATGGCTATCCTCCTGGGGAGTGATTTCTCGCTTTCTGTCTGACGAGCAAATGTGCCCTATAGCAAAAATCTCTAAAAAAAATTTAAAAACTCATGCTGGGCATGTATGCGTGTGTGCCCAAAAACCTGAGGGGAGAATGAAGAAAAAGGGATTGCGGTGTGGCCATCCCCCTGGGGGAGTGATTTTTTACTTTCTGTCTCTCTCTCTCTCTAGCAAGTGCACGTACCATATGGCAAAAATCTCTCAAAAATAAATAAATAAATCTTTCATTTTTTTAAACAATTTAAAGAAAAGTTGCAAAGGTAGTACAGACAGTTTCCATATACCTTTTATTCTGTTTGTTTCCCCTAATGTTATCTTATGTTACTAGTTATATTTGTTAAAACTGACACCAGTATTAATACATTGCTCTTAAATCCAGACGTTAATTCAAATCTTACCTCTTTTTCTAATACTATTGAAAATCTAATCCAGAATATCACATTCCAAGTAGTTGTCATGGCTCCGTGGTGTCCTTTAGTCTGTGATAATTTCTCAGTCTTTCTTTGTTTTTCATAAACTTTTTGAGGATTTTTTATAATTTTGGAGATTAGTGGCTAAGTATTTTATAGAATATCACTCAATTCTTGTTTATACTATTTTAAAAATAATTATCCTGGGGTAATGGGTTGTGGTTTTTTTTGTTTTTTAGAAGAATACCTCAAGATGAAATCCTCCCATAGCAAGGGGTACAGGATATCAAGATTGTTGCCAATAAAGGTTTTTCTTCTTTTCAAATCCATATGCCTTTTATTTCTTTTTCTTGCCTTATCACAGTACCTAAAACTTCCAATATGAGGTTAAATAGGAGTGATGAGAGAAGACATACTTGCCTTTTTCTGGATCTTGAAGGGAAAGCATTCTCTGACCATTAAGGATAAAGCTGGCTGTGAGCTTTTCATAAATGTCTTTTATTAGATTAAGGGAATCCCCTTTTATTCCTAGATCACTAAGATAATTTATTATAAACTTCATTGGAAGCTTTTCTGTACCTGTTGATACAATCATAGTTTTAACTAATCTATTAAAATGATTGAATCTTTCCATAATGTATATACAGATTACAATATCACATTGTACCCAGTAAAAATGCATAATTATTTGTTAACTACATCGGTTGGTTTTCCAATGAAGAATCAGCACTGCCTTTCTGAAATAAACACCACTTAGCTATGGTATATTATCTTCTTTATATGTGACTGGATTTTATTTGCTGATATTTTGGTAAGAACATTGTATCTATGCTCATGAGAGCTATTTAACTGTGCTTTCTTTTTGTTACTGTGTTTGTCTTGTATTAGGTAATGGGAACCTCACATAATGACTTGGAAACTATTCTCTTTGCAGATGTTTTGTGTTTTCCATTCTCTTTTTCTTTTGACCTTTCCATTTGTGTCATTTCCATTGCTCCGTCCTCAGTTACCTGATTTTTTCCTTCTTGGCTGTTCTGTCTATTGATAAGGTCACTAAAGGTCTTCTTCATTTCTCTTACCACGTGGTTTGGGTTTCTTGCGTTATTATTTTTAAAGCATTCTCATAGTTTCCATATCTCTGCTAAAATTCTCCATCTGATCTTGAATGATACTGACCTTTTCCATAGAGCCTCTAGCATTATTATCCAAAGTTATTTAAAATTCCCTCTCCGATAGTTCCAACATCTCTATCATGTGTGAGTCTTGTTCTGATTGATTGCCTTATCTCTTCAGACTGTCTATTTCTTATCTTTTGGTATGTCTTACAATTTTGTTGAAAGCCAGACATGTTGTTCACAGCAATAAAAACTGAGTTAAGTAGACCTTTAAGGTGGAGATTTGTGTTAATCTAGCCAAGAAGTGGGCTCTGCTTGAAGTTTGCTGTTGCTATGGTTATCACTGTTGAGGTTTGTTGTTGCTATAGGCACTAGAGACTTAAATTCATCCAGTGACTTTGTTTTTATTTCTCTTTTGGCTTTGGGTCTTCTTAAAGACCCCAAAGAGTACCTGTCTCTCACAGTTTTCCTAACTGTAATGCGCTATTATTATTGGAGACTTGTACAAGTATTGTGCCAGGGTATGGACAAGGAGAGATATTTCCTATTCTGATTAGGTCCCAGTCTTTGATGAACACAGCATTGGGCACTCAGAATAGTTTTTGTTTCTACTCTAGGAGTAGAGCTTTTGTCTCTGCTACCCATTCTCTTGTAGCTTCAGTAGGTATCTACCATTGTTTCAGTCTCTGACCTTAAATCCCTTCCTTCGGGAGAATAATGTTCCACCCACCCTTGGGTGTACTGCATAGGTGACAGTAACTGAGAAGGCAGTCTGCTGTCTTTGCTTTTGCTCTGGTATTTCACAGCTGGTGTCACATGCCTAAAAACTCACTGTTTTTAGGCAGATTTTTTCCCCTCATGTTTATTATAGGCTTGCTTTTTTTTTTTTTTTTTAATTTGATGGGAGGGAGGAGAGAAAGAGAGAGAGAAAGCAAGAGAGCAAGCTGCCAGGTCTGAGACTCAACCTGTGGTTGGCCAACACCTTAACCACCAAGCCACCTGCTGGCCTCTAGGCTATTTTGATTAAAGAGAAATAAAAGAAACTATGATACCTGAAGGCAGACCATTAAGTTTCTGCCATTTTTCTCAGGTTACATGCATCATCTTTGAGGGACTGGACCCAGTCTTTTTCTCTGTATCATGAGCGAGACTTCATCTTTCTCCTCCTTGTAGGAAGGAAATCTGCTTGAAAATAAAAATACCTTTAACTTGCCTCTGGACTTGCTGTTTCATCCCTTAAAAAAGAAAAACAGCTGTGTAGAAAGATGTGTAGGAACTGTAATCTCTGCACTGTTGGTGGGAATGTAAAATGGGCAGCCACTATGGAAAACAGTATGAAAATTACCCAAAAAATTAAAAATGGAATTACCATATGATTTTACAATACCATTTCTGGATGTATATCTAGAGGAATTCAGGGGAGGATCTAGAAAAGATATCTGCACATCCATGCTCATTGTAGCAATATCCACAATAGTCAAAAGATGGAAGCAATCCAAATATCTATCCACGGATAAATATATGAAGAAAACGTAGGGGCCAGCTCATGGCATAGTGGTTAAGGTAACTAGATTCCATATGGCCAATTGTGTCATTCAAGTCTCAGACCTAGAAGCTTGAAGAACACCCCACGTGCATGTGTATGCTTGCCCAAAATCCTGAGAGGAGAATGGAAGGGATGGGATTGCATGCATTGTGACTATCCCCCTGGGAGTTCTCTCTCTCTCTCTCTCTCTCTCTCTCTCTCTCTCTCTCTCCCTCTCTCTCTCTCTCTTGTTTGCTGGCAAGTTCATGCACCCTGTAGCAAATTAAAATATATTTTTAAAAATGTATATCAATATAGCAGGATATTACAAAACCTTTAAAAAGAAGGAAATCCTATTATATGCCACAATATATAAGGATATATGTAAGTGAAATAATCCCATCACCAAAGGACATTCCTTCCCCTCATTTTTTCAGCATTCTAAGCCTCTGTTATCATGAGTAACATGATAGTGGTTTACATGTTCAAATTAAATGATTAGGGCTAGCCAGTGGCATGGTGGTGAAGGCAGCTGAATGCCACATGACGGACTGCATGGTTTGAGTCCTAGACCAGGCAGCTTGAAAAATATGCCATGTGAGCATGTGTATGCACACACGTGCATGCCTAAAATCCCAAGAAGAGAATGGAGGAGAAAGGATTACAGCACCCCCCTTGGGGGTGCTTTCTGTCTGTCTGTCTCTCTCTCTCTGTCTTTCTCTCTGGTAAGCACAGGCATCCTATAGCAAAAACTAAATATAAATAAATAAATGATTAGCTTTTTATTGAAATGAAACTTAATAGTTGTCTTTATGTCATAGCATTTTTTCTTTCACTTATTTATAGTTTTTATAATGTATTTCTTATACATTCAATCACTGTATACCATTACAGCATGCAAAATGAATTTTTCCAACATTTTTACTTCTTGTTTTTCCAGAAAGAACTAGAAAAGCTGAAGAGAATTAAGAGGAACCAGCAGCTGGAAGCAATAGCCAAAGAACATTATGAAAGAGTCTTGCTAAGAAAAAAATGTCTGGAGCCTTGGAAGAGACTGAGACTACAAAGCAAGCAAAACGTCCAGGTGCAGTGTCACACTATTACCCCCTGAAATTGGAAAGTGGCCTTTTTCAAACAGGATGAGTGCCCGATTAGACTTTGGGTGGTGGTTGGGGGTGAGGGCTAGGGATTTAAAACCTAGTGAGATAAATGAACCAAGTGTGTATATTTCTTTGTGTCAAAATAAGATTTTTTTTTAGATTTGGCCTCTAAGAGAAAGACTTTTTTAATTGAATGAGTTGGAAAAAATACATATTAAATTTTTTATTGAGATCACCAAGGTAAGATGAATAGTAGCTTCTCTCAATTTTAACAGAGTTTAAGAAAGAGAAAAGTTAATACTGTAAGGTGTATTAGGCTTCTGTTATGCAAGAACCCGAATGTGGGTGACTGACAAACACGTTACTTATTCCTCACTTGTGTATCTGTGGGCCAATCATGGGTCAGGTTCAGGGCTCTTCCCAAAGTTCTCAATCTGGTTCCAGCACAGCTCAGGGCATGCTTCTCACCTTGCAGCTGTCAGAAGTACAAAAGGCCAAGCCAGGTTAGGTAAGCTGATCTGCAACTCTGCTTGTATCGTGTCCACTAACATTCCACTGGCCACAGGAAATCATGGAGCCAACCTCAAGGTCATTAGGAGAGGCTCTATCTGCTCTACTGGGAGGCACTGTGAAATCACACTGCAAAGGATGTGGGCATATAATTCTGGTATAGAGAAGAATAATTCACTCTACCGCACAGAGATATATGAAATCAAGCACCACTGAAATTTCTGGAATTTCCTTAACAAATGTATTCCGCATAGAATAGGGCATTCAACTAAATGAACAAGAAGTTCAAAATTAATGAAATGGTATCTTGCCTTTTAGCTCCCAGGCTGAGATAAGTGAGCAGGCAGAAGTCACAAGTGCCACAGAGACCTCCTGTGCCAGTCACTTTGGCCAATAAGTATGACTGCCAGCAGCCTCACTTGGATCAATCACATTTGTGGTGCCAGATGGCTAGACAAGGCTTGGAAAGATGTGTCATTGTCTAGAGAGGACTAAGAGACAAGGATTTTCTTCTCCCGTCTCTTAAATGAATATGTTACTTTTACAATCTATAAATTCTTAGTTGTGTGTTTTATTTTGAAAGAAAGATACTCTGACCCTTTTAAGTTGGTAAGATATTAAATTATTCATCACATTATTTTTCTATCAAATGGTTTTGTGGTTTATTGATAATGTCTAAATTTTAATGCTGGTGACAGCTTATTCTATAAAACTAATTGAAAGTATTGGCATTTCTTCAATTAGACAGTGGTTAAGTATATAATAAAGCATGGTTTATTATGGATTTGCCATTCAAGCTTCAGGAGAGCAAGCCAGAATTGTTTCTAGCCACCCACTCCAAACTCTCAAGTGCAATGGTGACTATGAAGGCGGTTTATTCCATTTCCATAAACAGCAGTCACTGTGGTCTTCAGGGAGTCAGCATTGAAAGGCCAAGCCCCATGCGAATCCACAGCCTCCACATAAGACAGTCTGTAATCAAAGCTTTCAGGGCACAGCAGTGTGTACTTTCAGATGGTTCTTCTCAAGAAACTCTCTACATGTGGCTTACCACGTCATTTGCCAGGGTGATGTGTGTTTCCTTAAGTGATTTAAAGTTTAAGGGATAATTTCCTTTTCTTATTTAAAAAAATGTCCAGGTTGCAAAGGAACATCACTCTTTGGCCCTACAGAGGAAATGCCTGCTGACCTGGTTCCAGTGTAGTCAGGAAAGCCTGGCTAGGAAGACGGCCCAGGCTGATCAGTTTTATTCCCAAATATTACTTAGGAGAGTCATCCAGAGCTGGAGACAGGTAAGGTCCCAGGGAAAGGCACTTAAAATACATTTTACTGCTCAATCCTAAGAAAGAAACTAAATAGAATTCAGAATGTCTGTGATCATTACGTGTTTTCAAGAACAGTATAGTCTACCTGATTCATTACTTTGAAATTAATTTGAACATGTCAAATTTTAATTTATGAGTACAAAATCTTAAGCACGTTTCTTTCCAAACTGTGTATATAAGCTGTAATGTATCATTACATCAGCTTTTATTTTATACTCGTTTCTTGTTTCTTGCCTCATAACGTTCAAGTGATGAGGCAGAAATTTACTTCACTCTTTTTTATTCTTTTTAAGAGAGATTTTTACTATAGGGCATGTGTGCTCACCAGAGAGACAGAAACAGAAAGACAGAAAACGAGAAATCACTCCCTGGGGGGGATGGCCACATGCAATCAATCCCTTTTCCTCCATTCTCCTCTCAGGATTTTGGATATTTTGGATACTCACGCACATATGCCCAGTGTGGTTCAAGCCACCCAACTACGTGGGAGTCCAGTGATGTAACCATTATAACAGCTGCTGGTCTCACTCCTTCACTCTTATGACTGATTTTTCTTAAAGAAGTACCCAAATGCCCATGAACGAATGAATGGATTGGAAAACTGTGGCACATATACTCTATGGAATACTATTCAGTCATAAAAAACAACAAAACCCTGGCTTTTGGACAGAAAGTAGAAGAATATGAAATATTTGCTGCTGAATGAAGCAAGCCAGGCTATGAAGGAGAAACATTGTATGTCCCCACTAAATATATACCAAGTGTCTGCACTATATGACTGAAACTGATTGACTAAAGGATATAGAAACACAGTAGATGGGCATAAATACCAGATATAGTATGTGTGAAAGAGTAGGGTCTGAGGACATTTAGAAGAAAAATAGGGAGGCAAAGCATTAATGTGACAAATGTGGTATTATCTGCTGAAGATATTTTACAGTTTTATCAATTGGACTAGGGAGAAATCTTCACATCTTGAAATATTCACTTTGAAAGCTAAATAATGAAATTGAATGTATAAAAGAAAATGAAATAAAAAATGCAAAAAAAAGAAAAAAAATATTTATTTGGGGACGACAGGTAGCATAGTGGTAAAGGCGCTGGACTCCCACATAGGCGACCACAGTTCGAGTCCTGGACCTGGTGGCCTGAAACTCAGGCTAGGCACATGTACATGCATACCCAAAAATCCTGAGAGGAGAATGGAGGAGAAGGGATTGGGATGTGGTCATCCCCTCTGGGGGTGATTTCTCACTTTCTCTTTCTCTGTCTCTTTCTCTCCAGCAAGCATATGCACTTTATAACAAAAATCTCTCTTAAAAGAAAAAAGGATTATTTAATTGTATTTATTTATTGCTATTACTATTTAATTTGCTATAGGGCATGTGTGTTCTCCAGAGAGAGGCAGAGAGAGAGAAAAAGGGAAAGTAACAAAGCAAGCCGCCAGGTCCAGGACTAAAACCATGGTTGGCCATGTGGGAGTCCAGCACCTTAACCACCATACCAGCTGCTGGCCCCATTACGACTGTTTTTAACCCCTGTGGTTCTGTGTTTATAATATGTTACACAGGATGCTATCTTGGCTGCCACGTCACCCTTTTCTCTTTATGCCTCCAGCATCCTTTGTCCCTTTCTTTTGTTTGTTTCTGTGTTGATTCTCTCTCCTTTATACTGTTTATTTGCTTTAATTCTTTGCCTGCTGATATTATTTGTCTCACATCTATTCCTGTCTTTATCCCCAGTACCTGACTGATCTGGAGGAAGAAGAAAGAAAATTCTGTGTACATTTTCTTCAGAAGAAGATTTTCAGGGCCTGGTCTAAAATGGTCAGGGAGGCCAGGATCAATTTTCAGAGCAAGCACAAGATCGCGGTGGAGCATAGTGATCGGTGAGGTTTTGATCTCTAAGGAAATTCACTCGTTGACTTCACAGTTGCTCTGCAGTTCCCAGAATGTGTGTGAAAGATGAGGTGGAGACTAGGAGAGCAAGGCACTGGAGAGAGGTAACAGGCGGGGGTGGGAGTCCCGACTTGCACACTGACAACTGGGTGAAGACAAGATAGTAAACCCCCTGGAACTCCAGGGTTCCCGACATTAGCATGAGGAGGAGGCCTGCCCTTCCTACTGCACAGGCATGGACAAGAGAATAAGAGAAGTGAAATATGTGAAACATGCCTAAACAAATGCACCGTAGTTTTTTGGTTATATAATTTTATTTTTTTAAGTCCAGTTTCTTTTTTTTTTTTTAAGAGATTTTTGCTATAGGGCATGTGTGCTCCCCAGAGAAACAATAAGGGAGAAGTCACCCCCCAGGGACAACGATGGCCACACCACAATCATTTCTCCTCGACTCTCCTCTCGGGACTTTGGGCGGGCACACACACACACACACCCAACCTGAGTTTTTTGTTTTTTTGTTTTTATTTACATTCATTCGCTGTACATCATTACAGCATACAAAATGAAATTTTCCATCCAGAGTACACTGTATATTGTCTCAGTCAAGCACATCAACAAACATGTTATTGTCAGCAAATAATTTTCCATTTCTTGTTTCCTGTATGTTTTGCTCCCCCCCATCCTTAATTCCCTATCTCTTATTCTCTGCCATCTCCCACTCTCCTCTCACACTGTCTCTGGTATCTATGTTTACTTTCTATACTGTTTTCCCCCCACATTTTATTGAATTACTAAAGACCTTAATTAATCTAAATATTTTCATAGCAAACACAGCTGATATATACATTTCCATGAACACAAGTCTAACTTTAGGCATCCTATAAAGTAGCACCTAGCTCGGGCTATATATCTTACATTGAATAGATATTTTTTTTCTGAAACCTTTTTTTGTTACTTAATTTACATTCTTTCCCT